CCTCCGGAGGTGGTGAGGCCTACATCGCGGACGGTGAGTCCGCCGAGGGCAAGACGAGGAGGGAGAGGTGGACGCCAGGTCAAACCAAGGTTCCGGATGGAGATCCGGGAGCGGTAGCAGGAAGGATGGCAGGCAAGGTGGGATGACCAACAGCCGGACGCGAACGGCTGGTGGTATCGGAACTGGAGTGGGATGTGGAACTACTGGGACGGCTCGGACCAGAACCCGAAGGCGGAGACCAGCAAATAGACCAGCTTGAGACGGGGGTTGCTGGGGCAAAGGTAGAACTCCCAGAGCTGGCCACGATCATTCCCCTCTCACTCTGCTGGCGCTGGTTGCCCCGCAGATGCAGGACCTGTCTCAAGGAGCCGCAGAGTGGTGGGTCGGCGCGATGGAGGAAGCGAAGAGGCTCTACGAGGTGTGGCTGAAGAGCACGCCGCTGGAGAGACTGCAGATCGTGACGCTTCTATTGCGAGCGATACCGGAGGAGATCAAGAAGGAGCTCATCTCTTCCAGAGATATCAGCAGTACTGCGGTACTGTACCGGCTGCGGGAGAGAGGACCTTGATCCTCAGGAAGCTCACGGATCTGGGTGGAGGAGGTATTACATGAGGGCCCAGGAGATTGGAGCTTCGTTGCCGGATCCCACCTTGCTGGCCTGGAGAAGGTGACGATGTTGGTGAATCGAGCTTGCTGGGGTTGGATACCACTCCCTCGGTACACGGTATCTGGAGCTACGGAGCTTGTTGTTGGCGGAGATGGACACAGCGAGGTTGATGAACTCGGAGCCAGCCAAGGTGAAAGGAGTCTACTTCGGCGGCGGTGCCTTCTACCGGTGGTGGATCTGGTGGGGGAACGGGGGAGCTGCTGGTTGAAGCGGCACGTTGCTGAGATCGCTGAGGACGCCCTCAACGAAGGCAATGGCGGTCATCAAGGAGATGAACGTGGTGACGGTGGATAAAGGCCTGCTGGATGGTGGAGCCACGCATGCTCTACGGAAGTGTAAGGATATGGAGGAGTGGAACGCGGCAACCCCGACGCAGGTGATCTTGGCGGAGGATGACGTTGATCACGCTGGAGGACATCCAGCCGATTGTGCCCATGCGTGTCCTGACCCTGATAAGGTACAAGGTGGAATGGAAACAGGAGGTGGAGATGGTTGACAGCTGTCCAATGGTGGAGGCAAGGGTGGCCCTGGACCTCATCGACGAGATGGAGATCATGGACGAGAAACATGCGATGAGCTTGGCTACGATGAAGATGCCGATGGAGGAGCTGAAAGATCAAGAGTTGGCGATGACGAGGGCTCTGAAGGAGAATTGGTCAGGTGTGCCGGACGAGATCATCGGCAGGGTGATCCCGGACATGGAGGTGGATGGGGAGGCCATTGACCCGGGACAGGGCCTTCTTAGACCGCAGGTGTTTGCGTACCTGCTCAAGCTGGCGAGGACCGGTAAGGTCAAGGCAATCCTGGGTGGCCTCGACGTTGCGCGTCGAGGGGGAGAATGAGGGAACGAGAGATGGTGGCTTTTTGGAACAGCTGCATGGGAACCTCACTACGTGGGTGGCGGAGGAGATGGAGATCCTGGACGGCGTGAATGAAGGCCAAGAATGGTGGTTGCCCGTGGTCAGGCAGGGCGTGCGAGAAAAGAACGAGCTGGAGGTGAAGCTCAGGCAGGTGAAAGTGGAGGAAACGGACCGCCTGGAGGAGGAATTGTGGGTCACAGAGACCGTTGGTATGAGGAGGTGCGGTCAGAGCTGCAAGAGTGGGTTGCTCCAGCGAAAAAGGAGTACGTCGCCATGACGGAAGACCTCAAAGCGGTCAGACCGGTGAAGAGGAAGGAGATTGACGAGCCGCCGGGGGTGGTGGAGTTTCTGCCGTCAAGGAAAGTCCGTGGGGTAGTGTGTGGCAATTTCGCCAGCAGCTCGGCAAATGAGGACACGTATGCGTCTGGAGCCGATGCCACTCAAATCAGAAGTCTGGCGAAACTGGCAGCGATGAGAGGATGGTCTATGGCGGGCACGGACATCGCACAGCGTTTCTCCATGCTCCCAGGAGAGATGATTCCAAGACGGTGGTGATGGAGGTCCCGGCGATCTTCAGGGAGGTCTGGATTATCGACAAGGCGGTCTATGGGTTGACCACGAGCCCGAAGGCCTGGGGGGTGCATCAAGATGGCACTTTCAAGAAGATGACATGGAGCGGGAAGGATGAGGAAGGCCTCCAATGGGAGATGAAGTTTGAGGTGACGGCGGAGCCGAACCTGTGGAAAATAATGGGAAGTAGAAAGGGAGGTAAGGAGGCGTCATGTCGATCTACGTGGACGATGTGTTGATGACCGGGAGGAAGGAGGTTATCATCGCAGCTGTGGGCTGCATCGAAAAGGAGTGGGCGCTGTCGGATCCAGATCTGATGGCGGGAGTCGCTACGATGTCCAGAAACATGAAGAGCCCGAAGCAGGTGGTGGACGTGGGGATGGTGCTGTTGAAGTATGTGAACGCCACGATCAACGTGAAACTCCAGCGCACGAAGGTTTCTGGTTGGGGCGCTCGGGACCATCTGAGCGTGAAGCGGCACGACAAGGTGCTGGAGGTGTTCTCGGACATCAGCTACGGAACGGCGGGAGACCACAAGAGCGTGCAGGGGATCCCGGTTTACTTCGCCAATCGCCTGGGAGGCGACCAAGCAGCCTTTTGTGGCGCAGTCTACGGCGGAGGCAGAGCTGATCGGCTACTGTGAGTCGCTGGTGGCTGGAAGGGCGACGGCTGCTTTGTTGGAGGTGATCTTGGGTGAGCTGCTCACCCAGAAGAGGATCTACGGGGACAACGTGGCGGCGATAGCCTTGGCGAGCTGGCGGACGAGACATTTGAGGATCCGGGCGGCATCGTTGCGATGGGCGCTGGAAGATGGTGGGTGGTCACTCACGCATCTGTCGGGGAGGCGGACGGCGTGACGAAGTCGCTGAATGGCCAGGCCTTCGAGCGATTCAGGGAAGACCTGGGCATGCCGGTCGGGAAGAAGATGGTGAAAAGAGCCGGGGTGAACCAGAAGGAGCAGGAAATTGCGGCGGGCAGCTCGTGCTTGGGGGTGAAGGCGAAGCTGCTGGCGGTGATCGGAGCCGATCTGGTGGGCAAGGCGAATGGTCGATGAGGTGGATACCTTGATCGCCACGGGCATCATCCTCATGGTGATTGGCGCCTTGTGGCTTGCAAAGGAAACCGCTGGACTGGTGGGTGGATGTGTGAAAAGGCTGAGGAAGATCAAGGTGGAGGAAGTCCCGAGGCAGGACCTGGGTGGTGCTTGAAGATGAGATGATGGGGCTTGAGCAGGAGCATCACGGGTCTGCGATCAGGAAGGAGGAGAGGAGTCGCGTGGAGGCGTCAAGCTCCACGGCACGAAGAAAGTGCAAGGGCCTCACAATGACGCAGATGAAGCAGAAGAACGAGAAGGGCGTGTAGTTTTTGGCGAGAGCCGGTAAATACACCGGCCAGACAGGTGGCACAATTTGTGGGGGAGCCCGTTAGGATTCATATCCGGGAGCCCCGTTGTAGCATCAAGCAGGCTGCATGCAAGAATTGCAGATTCCCGGACCTGACAATATTGCAATCATTGCAACTATTGGAATTGAATTCCAATACTTGCAATAACTGCAATATTCGGAGGTCCCGGATTGTGCAATTATTGCAATTGTTGGAATTCAATTCCAATAATTGCAATAATTGCAATATTCGGAGGTCCCGGATTTTGCAACTATTGCAATTATTGGAACTGAATTCCAATAATTGCAATAATTGCAATTTTCGGAGGTCCCGGGTTTTGCAATCATTGCAATTATTGGAATTAGTCGGCCCGGCTTTGGGGCTAAATCTGGGATCAATTATTTATTGTAATAATTTGAATATTTTGAGGTCCCGGATTTTGCAATTATTGCAATTATTGGAATTGAATTCCAATAGTTGCAATAATTGCAATAGTCGGAGGTCCCGGATTTTCAAGTTTTTCAATTATTGGAATTCAATTCCAATAATTGCAATAATTGCAATATTCGTGGGTCCCGGATTTTGCAAACTTTGTAACTATTGGAATTGAATTCCAATAGCTGCAATAATTGCAATATTCGGGGGAACCGGATTTTGCAATTATTGCAATTATTGGAATTGAATTCCAATAGTTGCAATAATTGAATATTTTCAGGTCCCGGATTTTGCAATTATTGGAATTATTGGAATTTTGTAATTGAATTCCAATAATTGTAGTAGTTTCAGAAGCCGGTACTTCGAATATTGCAATTATTGCACTTATTTGAATTGAATTCCAATAATTACAATAATTGCAAAATCCGGGACTTGACAATATTGCAATTATTTATTGGAATTGTAATCCAATAATTGCAATAATCGCAATAATTGCAATAATCAATTGATCCCAGATTTGGCCTCAAAGCCGGGCCGACTAATTCCAATAATTGCAAGATTTGCAAAATCCGGGACCTCCGAATATTGCAATTTTTCAATTATTGGAATTCAATTCCAATAATTGCAATAAGTGCAATATTTTCAGGTCCCGGATTTTGCAATTATTGCAATTGATGCAATTATTGGAATTGAATTCCAATAATTGCAATAATTTGCAAAATCCGGGACCTCCGAATAATTCCAATAATTGCAATAATTGCAATATTCGGGGGTCCCGGATTTTGCAAGTATTGAAATTCTTGGAATTGAATTCCAATAATTGCAATAATTGCAGAAATTGCAATAATCAATTGATCCCAGCTGGGCCCACTAATTCTAATAATTGTAATAATTGCAATAATTGCAATAGTTGCAATAATTGGAGTCGAATTCCAATAGTTCCCATAATTATTGCAATTACGGGACACCAGCTCCAAATATGCCACAATTAGAATTTCACTCCAACAATTGACTCAAAGCTGGAACCAGCCTGAACGACACATAGGGTATGAGCTTCCCTCTTACCCTTCGGTCTTTACCCCAAGGTTTTTGAGGACTTCGGGGTCTTCGCACTCGCGCGGGGCGGCGGCGTTTCCTGTCACTCCTGCCCTGGCCTTGGCTGCCGCGGCTGCGGCGCCACGAACCCTGGGGCTGAGGCGCTTGCAGAGGCCGACCAGCGTGTTGCAGGGACGCGTGCGGCAAACTTTGGGGCACAAAGATACGGTGCCATTCTGTGTGGAAATTTGCGAGGAACTCGGAACCTTCGGAGAGCGGCGCCTTCTTGCGTCGGCAGCTGGTTGTGGCCTCCACACTCGCGGCCCCCGCCCAGGCGTGCGGCGTTCCAACGTCTGAGTTCGGTGCCGTTGCTCGTTGTTTTTTCACGACGCGTTCCGCAAACTGCAGCTCTCAAACTCTGATTGCTGTGCTTTTGTTTTTGTTTTCTGGAAGTATCCTCTCCTGCTGTTCATCTCTGCGGCAGGCATTCCAGTCATTTGTGTCATTTGTATCATTTGCGCAGGCAGAGTTGCCCCAGCCCCAGCAGCTTCAGCTCTTCCCCGAAGCGCTGAAGAATGCCCAGGGCAAGGCCCATCGAATGGCGCCGATTTGCTGCGTGAGCCGTCTGAGTTTCCAACTGTTCAACTCTTGCCAGGTGGCGGTCATCACCGGAGCCACTGCTGGAGTTGGCCTCGAAGCGGCGCGGATTCTTGCCGGCGCCGGATGCGCAGCTTGGGCTTCACAGAGAAGGGCACAAGCAGGGAGGAGAGAGAGAGAGAGATGTAAAATTCGGGACCAGGATGATGCAAGCAATGCGCTTAACTGGCGGCAGATAGTGCAAAGCTATACAACTGTGTCCTTTGCAGTCGGCGCAATGCACATTCATCAGGCTGTCATGTGAGACTGGGCAGACAGTCCAACGTGTAAGCAAAAAAAGTTGTAAGCACGCATACTCGCACGTCAAACTTGAGATATCCCGTGACTTGTTCCAGAACACTGGCAGCATCGTGATTCTGTGCGATCTTAATGATGTATTCCGGCGTTCCTGGCCAGAGTGCGTCAGGCTGTCCTTCCAGCGTCACTCCATGCTTCATCATGCACTCCATGAGTGGCTGCTGAACCGGTTGCATAATGTTGCCGATGTCATTGAACATGAGGGAACTCAATCCCACGCAAAGGCCTGCGTGGATCTTGTCTTCTTCGGGTGCCAACATTGCGGTCTCAGTGTGAATCAAGACAAACTGCAGCAAAACATACCCTTTTGACAGCGCATATTCTGCCACAATGTTGAGCCTGACAGATCTTCAACATGTGCCCCAAGTCCGCTTCCCGTCAATCGCAGCGTGGTTTCCAATTGTAAGACTTGTCCGCAGTATCCCCTGTTGAAGATTCTGCAACTCTTTCGGTACACACTGTGCAACAGGTGTGCCGTGCCATGTCAAGCCTGACAGTCAGAATGTACATGCTGCGCATGTCATTCGACCGGACAAGTGGCAAAGTGCGAAGGTCGTTACTGTGCCACAAGTACGTGCAAGACTGTGGATGTCACTGGGTCGCATCTGTCGATCATAACGTGTGCTACATACTGTTCCACATGTGTGTAACTGCAGTTGCGGTGGTCGCATGCGAGATGTGGGCCGGTCTGGAAGACCAACCTTGGAGAGGTGCTTGTGGAGTGTCTCTGTGTTCTCTCCTTTGGTGAGAGTGTCAAAGAGGTGCTTGCGCCTGCCTTCTCTGATTGTGATGTTTTTGCTGCGCTGCTGTCGGTGTGTACTTTTAGGTTTGTTTTGATGTCGAATGCTTCCTGTACAAAATTGCGTATGCGCAGGCCTGCTGTGCAGGCTTGTGCCTATGGCATACATCTCTGATTCCACTGAGGAAAGTGCTTCTACTGCTTGTGTGCATGGAACGAGTAGCAATGGACCACCTAAAGGTCATTCATGTCCCAGGCAAACAAAGAGCGTGCCTGGTGTACAGATGGAAGAGACTTTGCGCAGATCAGGACACGTTTTCCTGGTTGCGCGCAGCAAGGGTCAGCTTGGACTGCTTGGATCTTGAAGGTCAGCGCTACAAGATCTTGGGAGTTTGCCTGTATGATCAGCCCATGAGGGCTGCTCCACCAGCAAGGAGGAGTAATAAACTGTTCCTCCATATGTGCCCAATACGGTTGTACATGTTGTGCGACTCTGTGTTTTGGCTCAAGTAAAAATCCGCTCCGCAGCGGACCTAGAGCTGAGTAAGATACTTTTCACTTTTCCTTGTTTTTTGTTGTTCTTGCCGCCTTGTGCCATGTGCCGCCGATGTCCATTGTGGTGCTGGTCCTTGTCCGCTTGCTGATGCTTGTGTCATTGTGTGTCGTGCAAACGTTGTTGATGCTCTGTGGTCTTCCAAGATCAGTGACCTGGTTTGTGCGTTTGTTGTGATTGATCCTGCTTGTAGCTGTAGGTGTAACTCCCATGTTGTGTAGCTTTCTTCAAACTTCAGTTCGTCGAATTGTGGCTTGAGAAGCTTTGTAAGGTACCCGACGCTTCGTGTATCTATTGGCATCGAGAACCGGTTGTGGAGTTGTCTCCAGATCTTGAATCCAGTGTTTGTTGCATGTTGTCTGCAGGTTGTTGCTGCACCATTGAACTGTGGTGGTGGTATCTTGTATCTGTGCACTTGTGTGACTGCTACTTGTGCTGTGGATGCTTGTGCCATGCCGTATTATTTACTGCTGTACGCCTAAACCTGTGCGTGTGTTGACGCTCGCCCTGGGTAGTGTGTGTGGGTCGTGTACCAGAGACCACTGCTCCGCCACCATGTGAAACTCGGTGGCACAAATGTTATTCAAACCTGTGTGTGAATGGCGGGTCCTGAATGTTCCAGGTGTATCAAGGCCAAGAGAGAGAGAGAGAGAGACGGAAAGACACTTTTGGATCTTGGAGCCAATGGAAAACGCTGAGGATGTGTATTTGACAGGGCGCACGCTGGCAAAAGCCGAAGCTGCAGCCGCCGAAATTCGCGTTGGAAAGGCTGGCGTGGCTTGGGGGTGCTCCTTTTTGTGCGTCGAATAGCCACTCATAGCAATAGCCAGTATTCCATGTGGCGCGTGTTGCATAACGCGTACTTTTGCGCACGCCGCGTTGGCTTGTCCATGCAGCACCACAGTAGCCTGCGCAGCCATAAAGCATGAGCTCCGATTTCTGCAGTGTCACGAGTTCGCGCCACAGTGGTGGATTGTGGAGGATTATTGCATCAGCAGAAGCGGCTGATGCCATTCATACTGGCGAAGATTCTGGCCTTACCTCAGGGCTCGCGAGAGAGGGGTCGATTGAAGGTTGTTTGGCTTTCACATCGCTCCCCGGCTCCCGCCTCGTGAGCGGCAATTTTCAGTCGCAGGGCGCGGGAATGCGCAAGGCGATGTTGGGCTCCGAGACTCAAATGCTTCAAGGACACGTTGCGGCAGTCTTTTGCAAAACATATGTTTCTCCACAAATTTACTCCGTATTTTCACAGAGAACCTAGAAGCTCCAAACAGTTTTCCACTTGCCGACGACTTAGTGGCCTTGTTGTTCATCGGTCAGGCAGACCTTGCGAGAACGACATGTTTCTCTCAGTTACGGCGGCCCCTTTCTGAGGCCCAGATGGCGAAGATTGTCTCTGGGTTCAAGATGAACAGAAGGCCCTGCGGCCCTGCGCAGCATTGGTGGAAGAAGGCTGAAGCGTGGCAGAACTTGCTGACCCGGATACAAGCTTTACGGGCGGAAGGCAAGGGCTGAGCAAAAGCAGTTCACGCAGACCAACACACACAGACGCATATCATGGCGGCTGGAGCGGTAAAGGAATCAAAAGCAAGGGCAAGAGAGGAAAAGGACAAAGCAAGCAAAAGATGCCCAGGCCGACATAGCCGTGCCAACAGCAAGTGCCCAGCAAGAGCAGGCAGAAGCAGCTCAGGAGTATGACGTCAAGTGGTGGACATGGGCGCATCGCTTACGCTTTCCCCTTAAATTCCGGTGATCCTGGTGCCGCAGACGCAATCGGTTACACTGACCAAAAAGAAACCTCGGTGCCCATCTGTCTTGTAAGGCAAGCTGAGCCAAGAAGGATACTTTGGAGAGGAGCTTCACTCATGCTGTTGTACCCAGCGTGTGGAGGCACTGAAACAAACTCCTTCAGAAAATGTTCAATCTCCCACAAATCAAATGAAATGTAAAAGAGAGGAAGGCGGAAGTGTGCTTCTTTCCAAAGCCCGATCCGTTCATTCACTTATGCTGCGTGGCCACTTTGAGAACCAGGGTCGTCTGCAAAAGACAGATGGAGCAAGGGCAGATACTTGCCAAAGGAAGCGATCCTGGACAAGGATGGACAAACTTCTCGCAGTGCTCAACATACGGCGCAGAAGAATTTTGAGGCCAAGCAAATCCAAGAAGGATTCAGCTCCTTGAAATGAAGAAATGAAAAGGCAAAGAAGCCTGAAAAAGCCCGAAACCAGCACCGTGACCGATGCTCCTGACACAGCATCCGTGACCTCAGAAGTGAGGATAAAGAATTCACAGCCAACATGCTGGTATGCAACATGCAACAGATTGGAATGCGATCCTGGACGACGGTGCCAAGCGCCGCAAGAAAGGAAGCCATTTCGTGACCTGGCCTTTTCTGCATTCTGTTGAGATATACACCCGCGATGACCAAGATCAAGGTCTCGATCCAGGCACCGGTCCTGACGACCGAGGACGACCGGGAGAAGACGCTGGTCTACATGGACACCTACCAAACAAGTGGCGAGTAACCAGATCCGCGGAAGGCTTGGCTGATTTCAGCTTCAGCCCAGGAAGTGCTCTGCGCACGTTGCCCCGCGCAAGCTCGGGACAAGTTTCTGTGAGCAAGTTCTCTCAGCAAGTTTTCTGCGCGCAGCGCTGACGAGAAAAAACAGCAACTTTTCGCTTTGAGCCCAGTCGGTCCGGAGCTGCGAAGTACATCGCGCAATACGCTCGTTACAAGTTGCGACCTGCTAAAGCCCTCTGAAAGCGAAGTTCGTGTATTATCTCCCAGCTAGCTTCTGAGAGCGCATTTCGCGTAACTGCTTTCGGAGCTGTTCGCTTCCAAGAGCAGGCACGCCAACACGAGACAAACTTGAAAGCCCGTGTGCCCAACTAGAGAGAGCACATTTCGCGCTGATGGTCGCCAATCCCCACAGAGGGTCACGCGCGCAAATCAGAAGTCGTAAAAAAAATCTTCAGTCTTAGCACATCACGCCAATCCCCGCAGCCCGCAGAGGGTGCGCGGACACGTCAGAAATCGTACGAAGTCTGCAGCTTGTGCGCATCGACCGCGCTAATCCGCGGGCGCTTCAGAATTCGCAAAAAGCACGCCAATCCCCGCTGGGGTGTCATTTTCTCAGAGTGGGTTCGGCCCCATCGCGCGACCTTAAGAATCTAATTAATTTTCGTGCCCGCATGCCTCGCGCGAGCTTTCTCGTGCTAGTTAGCTCGTGCAAGTTTAGCTGCGCGAGCTTTCTCGTGCAAGTTGGCTCGTGCAAGTGTGGCTGCGCGGGCTTTCTCGTGCAAGTTGGCTCGTGCAAGTTTGGCTGCACGGGCTTTCTCGTGCAAGTTGGCTGGTGCAAGTGTGGCTGCACGGGCTTTCTCGTGCAAGTTGGCTCGCGCAAGTTTGGCTGCACGGGCTTTCTCGTGCAAGTTGGCTCGTGCAAGTGTGGCTGCGCGAGCTTTCTCGTGCAAGTTGGCTCGTGCAAGTTTTGGCTGCGCTGGCTTTCTCATGCAAGTTGGCTCGTGCAAGTGTGGCTGTGCGAGCTTTCTCGCGCCCAATTAACTCGTCGAAGGGTGTGCGATTTCTCGTGCAAGTTGGATGGCGATTTTACCAGGAGATCCCTTCAATGCTTGCAAGAAAAGATCAATGGTCCTCATGGAGTCATAGAACCGTTGGAGCAACTACAATCAACCATCGTTTGTGAGACCGACGGAGAGTGCAACAGAACCCATTCGCACAGATCTGGACTTCCGTTCCTGAATGCGGCGCCACATCTTCCTACAACACAGTAATCACCAGTGTGAGAACCAAGGATTGAAACTCGTGGTCGGTATCCTGACAGGAGATGCGAATTTCGTATGCGCAGCGCGCAGCAGGATTCAGTTGATTTTTTTGCATCCGCACTTTATGGACAGCAGGTCCGCTCAACCGCACCAAGACCTCAATTGTCTGCCATCATAAAGGCACATTATTTAAAGACTCTGCTTGGGCAATACCCTTATGGGTGATATTCATTTCCAGGGAATGTTTTCTTTGTCCGCTCCGGACATTCCGGAATTTCTCACCATGATTCTAGGAACAGTCAATGTCTTTGTACATATCTTGGCGTTGAATCAATTAAGTTCTGATTGTAACATATCGCGCAAAGAACCGTAAGCGTTTCGGAACAGCCGACTGTTTAGATTGGCCACGGCAGCATTTCCTAATTTGCTTCGCCGCATATTCAAGCTTTTGTGCGATTCATGCCGTTTGTTTAGTTCATTGCAGGTAGTTTAAGCATGTTGCATGGAAAACAAGTGCTAGCATGTGCACTCAGAGGCAAGACACTGCTTACAATACACATCTGGTCTTCTACTTGATCATGTACCCTTGGCAGCTCATCGGACCAGTCATATATTCAGGCCTAAGTTCAAGAGTCTTATTTCCAACCTCGAGGTGGTGTGGCTGCGCGTCCGACATGCCATTGGCGAGCGTCACGAGAGATCAATGCCAAAGAAACCTTCCAATGCTTCGTTGGCAAAAGCAAGGCAAAGAGCCCCGGTCCGGATAGGTCGTCCCCATGGAGCTCAACGTGGCCTCGTTGGACTCGGTCCGAAGATTTGTGTCCACTTGGAAATCAAATGCCAGGAGACCGGAGATTGAAGGGACCGCCCGATGAGATGTTAGCAAGAGCCGGTTCATGACTCGGGATTGTTGCGAAAGCTTGAAAATCCTCGATTTCTTGTCGCCAGTTGCAACTGCCGCAAGTCATGCGCTTCATTTTTTGCATGCTTGGGGTTCTGCAGTTTCTTTGCAAGGACGCCCTGTTCAAGTCTTTGGCTGTCAATGCTCCCGTGTGCTAACCCGTTGGACAGCGTTACCTCGAATTCGTGGTGGCGGTTTCGTCGCGACCTCGGATGAGCGTCGCCGGGCCCGGAGAAAGAGACCGCAGGCTTCAGAACGCGTTTTGCAGGCCTTTGCCAGCGAGAATGAAGGGAACCAACCGTAAGAATACAAACATCTGACAGGAGGCAACCCTACGTTTAGAAAAACTCAGTGCGCAACTTTTGTGTTAGACCTGACGAAGGGAATGTTATGGAGACCCAAATACTAAGAGAGTTCAGCACTGGCTTAGTTTCAAGTTTTTTAAAGCCAGTACTGGAAATTCAGGTCCGCTCGAATCGTGAAAGGGCGATCCGATCGGGGCGGGTGCAGCAGGAGGCCGGTGGACATCTTGGCTTGCAACGCCGGCCTGGCCTTGGGCCAGGGCCCACAGCATTCTGAAAAGAACTTTGTACGTGTACACCGCCGTGTGGCCAGCATCCCACATCGCAGTTTGAATAGAGCAGCGCACTCTCGCGCGCGGTCGGGAAAGATCTGGCAGAGTTGCCACGTTTGAGAACCTTGTGTTGCAAAGCCCTCTTCGAACTGGTGTTCGTCGAGCTGATCTTGTCAGGCGCCCAACCATCTTGCAAGTGGAATTGAGTATTTGCGGTGTAGCATAGCAGCCAGCCGCCATTGTTCAAATCCGGTGCTTTGGCGAGTTTTGTCTGCACATTGTTGATTCTGGTATGCTGGTCCCAAGCATGTGCTCGCAGTGTGAGTTGTTGCACAGTTGTATCAGTTTTTTCTGCTACTGCTTGTGAAGGCGCCGCTGTTAGTGACAAAGCGAAACTTGCAGTTGTGCTCTGGCTGTCTCAGCTGTCTGTTGTATGATGAATCTTGTAGTCCAAGGGGTGTTGTCCTTTTTATGGAAATCTCACAAGCGGCTGGACAAGACACAAGGTTATGGTAAAGGAAAAGGAGGCAGCGACAAAGGGCAAGGAACAAACAAAGGGCAAGGAAAAGGAGACGGGCATTACAATCAACAAGGAGGGAGCGAAAGGAACGCACGCGGCAAGCGTATGCTAGATGCGAACTTGGCGATTTACAACTGCGACGCTGGCAACTTTGACACCAATGATCAGAGGCAACTGGTACAAACATGCCCGCTATCATAACAACTGGCATCATATCTCGCATCAAGCTTTTCGAGCGCAGATGGGTCTGTGTGACACATCGCATCTGACAACAGATTGGCAAGTTGATTCGGTTACCGGGCTGCGGGGCAAGGGTTCCAGCTGACTTCACAGAACACACAGCAAGGTCAGATCAGCGCGATAGCGCCGAATACGACACTCACGCTGCATGGCGCTGCGGCAGGTCAGAGTCTGAAGGAGCCCGAGTTCACGGAGGACGGCGCCGGCCTCAGCGCGCCTGCAGCAGAGAAGGCAAGAGCCGGAGACAAAGAAAGCGCAGCAGCCGTGAGAGATTTGGTTTGAAGTTGGCTGCTTGCGAAGGTAAAGCCATGTAAAACCCCTCTTTGGAGCAAGGGCAGTTTTCAGCCCGACAAGAAGGAACAAGGAAAAGAAAAGCAGGGAATTTGACGAAGTTTGCATTTTGGAACGAGGCATCCCCTGTTGGCAGTGAGTTTGCTGGTGACGATGCCGGCACATTTGGGTGCTAGGACATGCGTTTTGGGGTGCTGTTGCTGTTTTGGGGCGCTTGTGAATTTTCCGAGGTTGATGGCGGGTGCTGTCTTGGGAAGTGGTGAAGGTTGGTGGTGCTGACCGGGCGGGTGCATTTGCTGCGCTGTGCTGTTGCGGGTGCTGGTCAGGTTACTGCTTGGTGTACTCAGGGCGCTGGTGTTAGTTTGGCGACTGTGCAGTCAGGATGCTGATCACAGGTGTTGCAATCAATCTTGCCTCAGGTTTCGAGCTGACTTTGGCCACCAACCACCTGGGCCATTTCCTGCTCGTCAATGAGCCTGGCGCCCAGACGGTCGCTTGTGACTGATTGCGCCTTACGTTTTAAATCGTTCCCAAGCTGCTTCTCGGAGATTGCAGGCAGTAGTCAGTGTGAAGGGACAGGTCACGCGTGACGCGAGCGCTTTGGACTCGCAAAACTTGTCTTGCACATTTTCCCAAAACCCAACTGAGGTTGGGCCCCCGTATAGTTGTCACCAAACTATGGAGGGCGCAGTGGAAGAAGGACGAGATTCATGGTTGGCGTGTTAACGCTTGTCAGAACCGCAACACATGAATTGCATGAAATGTCCTTTGACAAGAACATGAAGGATGAAGTTCCAGTGGCGCCACAGTGAGTGCACCTCACCCCACCCCTTCCCCACCTCCCCAAAGCCTGAGTGCGCACTTAGACCGGGTGAGTGCGCAGATGACCGGAAATCTGAGTGCCACCCCGCCCCAATGCTTAATGACCAGAACCTGAGTGCTCAGCCGAGCCACAAGCAAAAATGTGCGCAGATGACCTCCTGCCCCTGCAGGGGCTACGTGGCAGGGGCATCATGTTCATACCCGACCAGGCAATGGAACTGGTTAGCGCGTGCGAAAAACTGAGATGGGATGGGCCCATGAGTGGTCCACTGCTGGAATGCCTATAGAAGCAACGGGATCGTCAAAACCAATGTAATCTGTATTGCACGGGGCGCGCGTCATTCTGCGGCAAGCCGGTCTCAGGAACATCAAGGGCCGAGGTGGTGGGAGCGCATGGTCAAAGAGACATCCGCTCCAACCTTTCAAGGCCCAAATTCTTCCCTTCGGATGCTTGGTTCAAACCCGCAACGGATTCGGGATCACAAACGCGCCCGAAGCTGAAGCCACGGAGGACTAAAAGGATGCGTTAATCGAATGCACTGAAAGCCACGCACCAAACTTTTTGGAATTGCCTCCGGAATTGCCCCCAAAGTTCTTTCTGACGCTCTCACGGTTATCAACTACGTCAACGGCGAAAGTGACACAGTCCAATTGGCAGCCAGAGAGACGTGGGAGAAAGCTACTTCCAGGTTGACACCCATGGTTGTGAGAACGGTGGCGGAACTCCTGGCGACGGTGACGAATTGACTGTTTCCGACGATGAATACGAACCGATGTCTGAAGATGAAATCGATGATGCTCATCGCGGATATGAATACAGACCTTTCTCTGACCATGGGGAAGACGAATCAAGTGTCGCGCCCGCCGTACCGGCTGAGGGATGCCCAGTCCTAGAAAAGCAGGAACAAGCCTGTGTTGTCAAACCCAGCATACATCAGGTCAAGCAAATCTATCGCAACCCTGATGAACCACAAGTTTTACGCTACTCCGTCCGTATGAGCTTCGAACGAGAGAGATCGCGTCTAACAAGATTGCCGATAAGAGGGGCAAAATCTTTAGTGACGTTGCTAGATCTCAGACGACGACATTGTCAGGCATCCTGAAGCTCGCTCCAAAGCCTCGATCCAAGGCTACTAGGTTAGGCGCAAGTCCTGGCGCCGGCGTAGCGCAAAGTGGAGGGCCGGATGGATGGATGGATGGATGGGTATGTAGATGGATAAATGGATGGATAGATAGGTAGATAGAAGACAGACAGATAGATAGATAGAAAGACAAATTTAAGGAAAATTTACACGCTGACGCGACACAGCCGGCCACCGGGCACCCCTTCCCGTTCTTTGATTTCCTTTCCCTCCAAGTCCTGCTAGTTTTCGGGATGATTGGAATGAACTTTTCCTTTGCATGTCTGCCCTGACAGTTTCCTGGCATGTCCCTTCACTTCCACGTCACTGCCGTTTCAGCTCCCTTCATTTCCTTGAAGACTCCTTTATTCGCATTCTGTCCGGTCCCCTTCACGTTCTGCCCTTGCATTTTCCTGCATCTTGGTTTCTCTCCAGTGCCCTCCCCATTTTTCGTGCCATTCCTTTGACTTTCATTTTGTTCACTTCCAGTCACTCCTGCTTCCTTGCATTTCCCCTCAACCCCTTGTTTCGCATCGCCAGCATGCATAGCATCATCTGCATCATCCGGAATGATGCTGGCAATGCTGGGGGTGTTGTCCAGTATTAGGCACCCCCCAAGAAGCGCTCGTTTTGTGACTCTGCAGGGAGATGCTACAAAACTCCTCAAAAATCGCTTAAACAAATCCGCAAATCCTTCGCCCCTTATAAGGGAGGGCCCAGCCCAAAACGTATGCGCATGGTCGGAGCATGGTCCGCGCATGGTCGGCGGCATGGGGCGCGCGGCCTTATACCTGAAGGTAAGCCCTAACGGGCTTTGGCCTGCGGCCCGATCATGTCCGGTGGCCGGATTTACACGCTGACGCGATACAGCCGGCCACCGGGCACTTTGCCCTGCTCGTTCTGTACTTCCCTTTCCTGTAAGTCCGATTAGTAGATGTTAAGGTTTTCAGATTCTAAAAACTTTGACATTCTAAGGGTCTCAGATTTGAAGACTGTCGGAATTTAAGGTTTCAAGGGTTTAAGAATTAAGGTTTTAAGATTTAAAGTTTTTGAAGGTTATAACAGCCAGGCCATTGCCCAGCCATTTTCCATCTATTATCAGATTTCGAAGGCTTTAAGATTTATTTTCGGAGATGTTCAGATTTGGCGACTTTCGGAATTTAAGATTTTAAGATCTCAAGATTTCAAGGCTTCAAAGTTTCAAGATTAAGAGTTTAAGGAATTTCAAATATAGCTACGACTGCAAATGAGAACATGAGAGTCCCGTCCCAGAGACTTGCACGCTTGACAACAAGCACCCCAGCGCGAGCCCTCGTGCAAACTGCCCGACTGCTACAACCACAGAAGCACGCTAACACGCGAAACCCACACGCGTAGGCTGCAGCATCACGCATGCGTAGACCGGAACCATGGCGGAAGTTGCCCGAAGTTGCCCCCAGGGCGCTTCTCAGTCATGTGCCTGTGCAGTCAGGGAGACGAAGCAGGAGCCGCGACTGCAAACGCGCTCGAACGGGTGGAGGCGGCAAGTTGCCCACAGGGCGCCTCTCAGTCATATACCGCTTCAGCCATGGAGAAAAGGCGCTGGTCGCGCTAGCCGGGGAGTGCAGGTTGCAGTTGCTTCCGTTGGATGTCTCCCGCCCTGTCACTTCATTTTCCTGCATTTGAAAGTCGCTACTCGTTATCTACCTGAAAGTTGCCCGCAGGGTGCTTCAAGAAGTGGAAGGAGGGCAGGGATGGGGCCTGCGGCTTTTTGCAGCCACACGGCCTGGCCAGCGGCAGGCAGGGAAGCGCCGGCTGCGTGCCCGGCCTGGGATGCCCTTCCTGGGACTTGAATGAAAAGAGGGGGGGGCGAAGGGTGGGTTCGGGGGGGGGGGTGGGGTCATGATTGGCAGTGTTCTATTTGGCAGTGGATGGGCGGGCGGGGGGGGGGGGGGGGGCGGTGGGGGGGGGGGGCGGGGGGGGGGGGGGCGGCGGGGGGCGGGGGGGGCCGGGGCGTGGGGGGGGCTGGGAGGGGGGGTGGCGGTGGGGGGGGGGGTTTGGGTTTTGTTTTTGTTTTTTTTGTATGTTTGTTTTTGTATTTTTTTTTTGTTTTTTTTTTTTCTTTTTTTTTTTTTTTGTTTTAGTCGTTTTTTTTGTTATTTTTTTTTTTGTTTCCATTTTTCGTTTTCCACCAGGTCCACTCCTTCCATACATTATTACGCATCCATTCTCCAACACTGTTCCACCCGCTTCCACAAGCTGCCAGCAGTGTCGCCGTAAGAGCAGTTTGGCAGTTTCAAGGGAAGCCGATGGAAGCTAAGGGGCGCCAGACAACACAAGCAGACTGAACACCCCGCATCTGTTGACCGTGCGCGGCACAGCGTCGCGAGGCATTTTGCAAGCGTAGTTTGGCAGTTTTAAGGAAGGCCGAGTGAAGCCAAGGGACTCCAAACAACATGAGCAGATTGAACAACCCACAGCCGTGCAGCGCGCGTGGCCACGCGCTTCGCCCTGTTTTTCTCTCGCGCACCAGAGCGTAGCTCCGGGCGCCTGAGTGTCCCAGTCCGAGGCAGTGTCTGCTGCAAGTGAAACAGAGGGAAGCCGAGTGAAGCCAAGGGAAGCCAAACAAAGCTAGACAACACGAGCAGATTGAACAACCCACTCCTGTCGACCGCGCGCTGCACGCAGGGCCGTGCCTAACCCAGGCAGGGTCGTGGCACAAGCAACGTCAGGTGTCACACAGCGCCTGAAAAATGTTCGTCGCACAAGCAGCAACATGTTTCACATAGCAGCCACCAAGAATGTTCATCGTGCTTGCAGCAACACGTTTCACGCGGCAGCTCGTGATGACGTTCGCCGCAGAAGCAGCAACATTTCTCGCGCAGCAGCTTTCAAAAACATGCGTCGCATCAGCAGCAACATGTGTCACACAGCAGCCACTGCAAACGTCAGTCGCTCAAGCAGCAACATGTGTCACGCAACAGTCACGTCGGACTAGCAGCAACATGTATGACGCAACAGATTCGTCGCAGTAGCAGCGACGGAACTTTTTTTTCGTCGCATAGCCTCGCAGGCCAGTTGCAAGAGACCAAAAAAAAGGTAAGAGTAGGAAGCAAGGTCCACTTCAGCAACAAGCCCTTGGCTTGGCGCCAGGTGGTTGGAAACCAGCTCTGTGGGCAAGCCAACCCTTGAACCGTTTCAGCCAAGCAAAGCGCCTCAAACAAACCTGTCGCTGAGGGCTGTTTCAGTAGTCTTGTGTTTCCTCACCGCGGCGCGACTCTTTCACTGTAAGACACGAAAAAAGAACGTGAAAACACCCTGGGAATGTCACATGTTGTGCATTATTGCCTACAAAGGCAGGGCCGACTTGCGGTGTTTTATTCGTAGCAGTTGCAGCTCGCAGCTCAGACTCGTTCAAACTCTTAGACAGCTGGAGCCGCACCTGAAACACGCCAACAGGCGTCAGCCACATGCGCATAGTCAAGCATCACGCGCGGTCTAGCGCCGGAAGAAGGGGAAAGTTGCCCGCGGGGCGCTTCTACATCACTCGCG